AAGGCAAGGGAGCACCTAAGAGGACACGACAGTCAGTACCTGCTGTCTGCCACCGAGTGCCTTCAGAAGAGAGGGCTGCAGCAGCTCAGGCTGGAATTTTCCCATGTGTGCCCATGGCAAGAACAGTAAAACCTTAGGGGGAAAAATGAGTTGAGTAATTGTAGTCAAGGTAGCAGGGAAGAAAAAAGCTGAGAAAACTTGATCCACTTCATTTAAGGGGAGACCCAAGCTCCTCACAAGCGTAACGGGCCAATGTCTGGGTTATTAGAGAGAAAAGGAAACAGACCAGGAGGAGAGGGGTTGCACTAGGAAAGGGAAAGGAGCGCTTGGGAGCCACATTGGGTGCAAAGTGCTCCTGGACTCAGCTCTGAAAGCAGGACCCTGAACAGTGAGTGGTCAAGGTCCTCACCCAAGTCAGAAGGCCACCTCCCAAAGCTTCACTTCATAGAAAGAGTGGACAGAGAAGAAACGATCCTCCAGGTAAAACTTATTAGTATTTTCAAATGCTTTACTTGCTCCTTCCAGGTATTTCTAAATAGACCCTTAAATCTCTTTCATCTTTTTTTTTTTAGAAAAAGGAAAAAATCTTCAGTCAGTTACTTCAGAGCCATCTCCTCTCCCCACTGCTCTGCTCCCCTGCCCCAAAATTAAGTATAAAACTAGTAATTGGGACATTCCAGAAAAGAGTGACAAAGGTCAGCCATAGAGAAATGTCAAGAATCCCGAGAGAGGAAGTCTCTTCCATCCTTAAATTTCCTCTCTAGGAATAAGGAAATTCTACATCTCTTCGATTCGGCTCCAGTTTTTATTTTGTAAACCATAGTCATGTTTGCCATTTAAGACCTTTGCAATCATGAAAAACTTTTAAGAAGTGGTAAACACTTCCCTAAAAAGAAGTGAGAATGACACAGAGTGAAAATCAAAAAGGGTAAAACAGAATGAAAAGAACTATAAGCTAAGGAATTTCAGTTTGACTTTTCAGTCTTTCTAGAGTTTCAAATGTGACAGAGTTAAACTAAAATGTCAGATTTTTCCATTGCTCATATTTCCTTAAGTCACTAGAAGTAACCAAAGGTGCCATAAGCCAAGGCTGCATCTTCCAGTAGATTAGAAAATTCTCCCTAGCAATCCCATTACTGAATATACACCCAAAAGAATATAAACCATTCCATCACAAAGACACATGCACGCATAAGTTCACTGCAGCACTATACACAACAGCAAAGACATGGAATCAACCTAAATGCCCATCAATGATAGACTGGATAAAATGTGGTACATATATAGCATGGAATACTATGCATCCATGAAAAAGAACAAGATCATATCCCTTTGCAGGAACATGGATTGAGCTGGAGGCCATTATCCTTAGCAAACTAACACAGGAACAGAAAACCAAATAGGGCACCTTTTCACTTACAAATGGGGGCAAAATGATGAGAACACATGGACACAAAGAGGGGAACGAATGACACTGGGGCCTACCAGAGGGTGGAGGGTGGGAGGAGGAAGAAGAGCCAAAAAAAAAAAAAAAAAAAAAAAAAACACTACTGGGTACCAGGCTTAGTATCTGGGTGACGAAACAATCTGTACATCGAATTCCTGTGACACATGCTTACCTATATAAGAAACCTGTACATGCACCCCTGAGCCTAAAATAAAAGGGTTGAGATGGAGTCTTGTTCTGTCACTCAGGCTGGAGTACAGTGATGTGATCTCAGCTCACTGAAATCCTCTCCTCCTGGGCTCAAGTGATCCTCCTGCCTCAGCCTCCCAAGTAGCTGGGGCCTCAGACCTGTGCCACCATGCCTGGCTAATTTTTGTATTTTTGGTAGAGATGGGATTTCACCATGATGCCAAAGCTGGTCACAAATGCCTGAGCTCAAGTGATCTGTCCACCTGAGCCTGCCAAAGTGCTAGGATGAGCCACCACGCCTAGCCAAAAATTTTTTTTAAAAAAGAAAATTCTTAAGGAGAAGATAGATGCTGTGTAAATAACATTTGGGAAATTATCCTTACGTGTGTTCTCAGAATGGAAGAGTAATGCAACAAAAGACCGCAGCTCTGAGACCCTGGTGCTGATAATGTTCAACCCCAAAGACGGAACAGAATGTTGAGATCCAACTGGCCATAAAGTATCAACAAATTACCCCCACAGTAAAATGCTTGACCAAAGGAGTACTTAAGCCTTGAATGGTTCATCTGTTCTAGAATATCCATTACCAGAGAGGCTGAGATGCGGTAGCCTAAAAAAACAAAACAAATAACCAAACCACTAGCTTAAGAATTAACAGATGAGTTCTAGTCCTAGCTTAGCCTAACTAAACACTATGAAGTGAGAACATCATGGGCGTCTCTCAGCCTCAATGTTCACATCTGTAAAATCAACCAGAGTGTGAACTAGTCCTTAGCAGTGTCATTCATTCATTCATTCATTCACTCATCCATTCAACAAGCAGTTTTTGAGCAATAATGTTGAACACTATTCTTGGTGCTTGGAGAAACAGCAGTGAACAAAAAAGACAGAGTTTATGTTCCAGATTCTAAAACTATTATGAATTGGTGTTTTCAAACTATGGGTTGTAAAATCCAGTTAGCAGAACCAGATGAGCACTTTAAAAAGAAGAAATGGCATAAAATAGTATAAAGTATCAGAGTACATCACACACAGCAAGGAGAAGTTCTGGTTCATAAAATTTTGCTTCAGTTATTGATAGATACTTGCATTTATGAGCATTGCGAGTAAAGAGGTATGAGGCATTTCTGAACATGGGTTGACTGTGTCAAAGGAGTTTAAAACTCCCTAATAAAAGGCCTCATTTTGTTCCAGCCACTGTCCTCATCCTAACCTTCACTTAAATTACTTCTTAGGAACATCCTGACTATAGACTAAATCTCATTACCTCTCCATTTGCCCCATGATGGCATTTTGGATAAATATCAGAGAACACATCCTTTTCAGATCAGTATTTCCAACCTCTCTGAGTAAGGATCCCTTTTCATACCAGTCCTTTTTATCTGTATTACCTGCCTGCCAGTTAAGAAAATATACAGTGTCCAAAAGCCACAAGAACTCTTAATGGATTGATAATGTATTGGTCCTAAGAGTTTCTGCATAGAAATACAAAGAGTCCAAACACACAGAGGACAGAGGATTTATTCCATCAACCAACCATATTTCATGTTCAGACAGGTGTGCATGCTTCTTATGACCTGAGAGGTCACGGGCACAGAGGAGTAATCCCTCTTCCAGGACCCCATTTTATGTGGCCATTTTAGAATCACTATGTTCTTACAGATGGCTGCTGAGGGTGGTTGCTGACTGTTTTAATGCTTCTTCACCCTCCTTTCTTTCAATTAATGCAAACTACTAAACCTAGCTATGTAAGTTTCTCATTGCTGTTATTCATTTGCTTTTTAGTAATTTGTTAAATCTCACAACCCCGGGCTCCTTCGAATAGCTAATAGGAATTGTGAAGACAATCTTTCAAAATTTGCCTAGAGGTTCACCCAACCCTACCACTGCCTTGATTTGGGCAGAAAACATCCCAAGGCAGCCATGACAGTAGCTGGGAAAATGGAAGGAGGTGAAACAAAGAGAGAAGAAGAGTAGAGGGGAACTAAAACAAGCAGCGTCAATCTTCCTGGGAGTCTAGATGCTTCCACACCAATCAAGGTCCACCTGAAGTCACAAAACCACAGCCCCGGTTTCTCAAAGGTTCCGTGCCTCCTCTGCAAGTCAGTCGGGCTTTGGTCCATTATTGGGCTCTAACTTCCCCATTCTGTGTATCCCCTATTAGCTTATACATAAGATGTATAAGTTAGAAGGGGGCTGGGCAAAGGGGGAGCCCAGGCCCCTTTATTACAGAGGTCCAAGGTGGGGGCACTTGGGCAAGGCAAGGTCAGCACATGAGAAAGTCTCCTGGCAATCAGACTCCCCCAGCAGATACCAAGCTGCTGCCTCTGCCTCTGCCTCCGGCCCCTAACTTCTAGAGACCAGCTCTAGCCCCTCTCTGTTATATTCAACATTTTCTCCTTCCTGGAAATCCCAGCTACTTTTGGAGAAAGGTGGCTACCAGGTACATCCAAGAGAAGAATGATGATTCACACGCTTCCTACTGTTGGCAAATACACAAACCTAAAATACCTAAAACTAAGTTTCATACTGTCACCTTTACCATGTTTTTTTTCCCTAAGTTACCCATTTTTTCAGCTTAAAAAGAACAAAATGGGACCTGTTCTTCATTAATAAGGAAACAATTAACTTCTGGGAAAACCTGGTTGCTTATTTATGGCAAATTACACAGAGGGTCACTTAACCAGTTCCCAGCAGTGGCTATGAAATGGGGGATTGGCGGGGCCGATGGCTAAGCTGCCTCTGGCTTTTTGCTGCCTTGTGCCCATTAAGGAAGAGCCTCCCTGACAGTGCTCCTGGCCTTCCAGCAATCTCATACTGGCAGACAGGAAGGAATAACTGCTTCTAAAGGTACAGCAATTCCTAGTTTTTCTTTAAAAAAAAAAAAAAAAAAAAAAAAAAACTCTTGCCTAGCTATTTCTGTAAAGTTGCTCTCAAGCCAGGACAGTCATTAGCAAGACCTTGAACTGAGTCAGTGCTTAACCCTCATTTTACTACAGAGAAAAATCAGGAAAGTTGTCATAAATTACCTAAGCACCTAGAAACCAAAGACTTCAGCTTCCTCCTTTTTTGTTATTTACCAGCTCAACAAACTGAAAGTGAGCTTGGAATATCTATCAATGGAAAAGTCTACTGATCGTATAAATAGTACTAACTTTAAAATCTGACTCCTAAGTATACACATATTCTAAATATTTAACGAGACATCTATCTTTGTACTTTGAATCTGGAATAGCTTGCCTGCTACTTGCAACCCAACACCACCCTGGACATCTTTACACTAATAATTTTAAAGCCAGGCAAACCCCAAGTTATGTCTAGGTTTTATTCCAAGCAAACTCAAGTTTACAAAATGAGTAGTTACCATATTTCTGAAGAGTAGGTGATCCAGGTGGAGATGAATTTCCACTAGGAGACAAGTAGAGGTAGCTTTTGTTCACTCCTGCATCAAAATCAAACGGGGATTGGTAGTCCTCATATAAGTCCATTTCTCTACAATCCATTCCAGACAAACGCAGAGCGCATGGCTTTCTAATTGCCTGATATCATCCTTCAGTTGAGTGCTGCTTTGGCCATATTCCCTTTGTAGGGTGCAACTTCAGTGAAGAAATCAACCCCAGGACTTACAGGCCCCTGGCTCCCAGGCCCAGGTGCAGCATTTCCTCCTGGGCGCCTTCACACCCTCCTGACAAGCAGACCTATTTAATAAATGATTTATCCTGAGCAACCTTAGGAGGGGCTCTATTCACCACCTGGTGTTAATTTTGATCAACAATGAAAACCCTGGGCAGGGAGGGAGCTTGCCTCAGTCAACAAAGGAGGGCAGGGTTCTGCAGTAAGGCCCAGATGTACCAACAGTTCAGGCAAACATCATGCACCAACTGACTTACAACAAGAAACTACAATTTATTTAAAAAAAAAAAAATCATCTGACCATGACTACACCAGGGCAGACTTAATCTTCTAGGACAAGGAGGGATTACCAGTCAGTAATCTCCCACAAATGCCATCTGGGTGATACTTTTTTTTTCCACCCTGGATTACAGTAAAATTCTCAAAGCCAAGCTTCCTGGTTTAGCAATCAGCTTTCTAAGCACAACTTGGTATAAAAATAAAGCTGTATTTCCATGATTATTTTATCTAATGTGGAATCTGGCTGAGTGTCACAAAAACTTCAGACTGACTTTCTTTTATCCTTTTTTTATTAGAAAGATGGTGCTTCAGTTACATGCACTGGAAGGAGAGGAATCCACTTTGAAAGTAAAGCTTCCGGGTATTCCCACGCCTTCTTTGTTTGTCTAAGGCCATGGCTCAGCAGAACTGCAATAAACCTGCGTGCCCACCCTGCAGAAGGATTAGGCCACGTTAGCTTGTAAAACAAAACCAAGTCACCAAATGTATTTCCTTTAGCACACTCTCTTGCAGAACTTTTCTATGCTACGGCCTTGGCTCAAGCAACAGCTCCTGCAGCTCCTGCTGGTTCTAATATTAAGAAGGTAAAAATAAAGGTGACCTGCCTTCAGGTGGACAATGGTCTGTTACTGCATAACAAAAAAAAGGCAGTGTTCTACTTTTTCAAACCTAAAAAAAGAGCTCAGATACACTCTGCTTGGATTGGAAGCAAGTATGAAACCTAATATATTTTAAGCATTAAAAAAAAATCAGTATATGTTTGGCGTATAAAATGCATATGCACCAAGATGGTCTGTATTCCTCTTAACTTCAGATTTTTTTTTTACATACAAAATATATGCTGAATGATTTTTTTATTTGATATATTTGTTAGTCTCATGTTGTACTCTATTTATGGTAGGTCTTTTTTTTTTTTTTCCAAGACGGAGTTTTGCTCTTGTGGCCCAGGATGGAGTGCAATGGCACAATCTCGGCTCACTGCAACCTCTGCCTTCTGGGTTCAAGCAATTCTCCTACCTCAGCCTCCCAAGTAGCTGGTATTACAGGCGCCCGCCACCCACTACACCTGGCTAATTTTTGTATTTTTAGTAGAGATGGGGTTTCACCATGTTGGCCAGGCTGGTCTTGAACTCCTGACCTCCGATGATCCGTCCGCCTCAGACTCCCAAACTGCTGGGATTACAGGTGTGAGCCACCATGCCTGGCCTATGGTAGATCTTTATCTTCATTCTATATTTAGAAATAAATGTTTTTTTTTTTTTTTTTAATGATCTGAAAGAATGAATTGTCTAGCTTCTTGAAATCCACCGCCTCTTACTGGGACAGGAAAGGAATTGGAGCTATGTCCCTGGACTAGAAAGAGCATGGTTCATGAGGTCCCCGGCCCTCTCCATAACTCTGCATTTGGTCACTAAATAGTGGTAGAAAAAGCATTTCTCTATTACTTTACTTGTTCTTCCACTTAGAGCCAAAAGCATTAGAAGGTAATTAATAGTGACACAGATAGAATGCAAGCCACAGTCACCTCCATCCTCACCATCTCTCAAGCCCATGTCTTTGACCTTTGGTACTTACATCCATGCTCCATGCTCTACCTGAAATGCCAGCTTTTTCCAGCCTGTCAAAGTTATTCATCCTTTAACACGGAGGCAGAAATGCCACCTCGTCTTAGAATCCCCCAGTCTTTGTCCCCCTCTTCTCCCAGCAGCAGCACACAGTGTGTGAAGTGCCACCTGCAGGGGTCTGTGCCTCTCCAGGGCACTCTACCGGATACCTGCCCTGAAGGTTTGGCTCCTAATCAAGGTGGAATTTTAAAAAACAAATGGGCCGGGCACAGTGGCGCCTGTAATCCCAGCACTTTGAGAGGCCAAAAAGGGCAGATCACAAGGTCAGGAGTTTGAGACCAGCCTGGCCAACATGGTGAAACCCCGTCTCTACTAAAAATTAAAAAAAATTAGCCAGACATGGTGGCGGGTGCCTTAGTCCCAGCTATTCAGGAGGCTGAGGCAGGAGAATTGCTTGAACCTAGAAGGCAGAGGTTGCAGTGAGCCAAGATCGTGCCACTGCACTCCAGCCTGGGTGACAGAGGGAGACTCCATTTCAAAACAACAACAACAAAAAAATGATGGCTCATGTAGATGTCACATCTCTTATTAATAAATGTGGGCATTTCAAATTTAAGTAATTGCCTAAAATTTTTATTTTACCTGCTTCGATACACTCTTGGGACTTTTATGCAACATCCTGGCTCTTTGAGCCAGTTTTTGTTCTCATTATCTCCAGTGAGATCCCAGTCAAGACATTCTAGCCTGTAAGGAAAGTGAAATCTAGAGGCAGGAAAAGCACAGACAGGTTAACGGAATGGCAAAAATTCAGTTGACTCAACAGCCAAATACAAAGTAGAAGGGAACTGAAAGAAATACCAAATGGAAATGTAGCTTGGGGGCAGGCCATTAAAGACTTTGACAAATTTTATACTTGATATACTGTGTGAAAAAAACAACTAAAGATCTGTGAGTCATCCGGAGTATATGTTTTATAAGGATGACTCTAGAAATGGTATAAGGATGCACTGCAGGCAGAAAGAGGCTAAAAGAGGGCAGACTCAGAGGCTACCGGGCAAGCCCAGCAAGGAGGAGAAAGCCTCGTGATAGGGTTTTGCTCTGTGTCTCCACCCAAATCTCACTTTAAAATCTAATAATCCCCACCTGTCAAGGCCAGGACCAGGTGGGGGTAATTGATCATGGGGGCGGTTCCCTCACACTGTTCTCCTGATAGTGAATGAGATAGTTCTCTAACTGTTTTATAAGAAGATTTGATGGTTTTATAAGGAGCTTCTCCTTCTCTGGGCACTCATTCTCTCTCCCGCAGCCATGTGAAGAGGTGCCTTCTGCCACATAAGTTTTCTGAGGCCTCCCCAGCCATATGGAACTGAGTCAATTAAACCATTTTCCTTTATAAATTACTCAGTCTCAGGTATTTCCTCCCAGCAGCATGAGAATGGACTAACACACCTTGGTATCGGGCAACTCTTTTTATTTCCTGCTGTGGACTAGCTGGCCTGGGGAAGAACCTGATAAGATCTGGTCTGGTCCTGTCCGGTGGATAATTCCACATGGATATTCCAAAAGTACTTCAAAGTCAGCAGCACGAGACTGAACTCACTGGCTTTCCTCACGATCTTCTCACCTCTAGATGAGGCATCCTGAGTCTCCCCAAAGAAGTCTCATCCAAGCACTCTCACTCGGCACAGAGACAGCACCGGGAGCTGTCTACCAACCCGTACCACAATCTTCCGATCTTTCCCTTGTTTCTACTGTCATCATCCACACCCTACGTTAGACCCACGTGGAGGGTTGTGGGAGGCACCAGGCTGCACAGCGGTGTAGTAGACATATGCTGCCTTGTTGACTTCACCCCTCTTTCCCTAGAGAAATTTCACCTCACGTGCTCCCTGGGGTTCTTGGGGGAGAGAGGTCCATAGTTCTCACCTGCTTCCTGGCCCTAGGCATGGGCCTGTACTTCAGATCCAATCCATGCAGACACCCCATCCCCTTGTTCTCAGGGACTGGCCTAAGGATAGACATCTAACCCAGAAAGTGCCAGTCAGTGGCCTTCCCTGATGTTTACTCTATGAGTACTGGAAGAAAGTGACTCTCTCTGTAACCTAAGCTGTTGGGTGCCAGTTTGGAGGGGCTGGCAGCTCCTTCCCTCCCCATGCCAACAAGCAAGAGACCAAGTGCTGAGACTGGGAAGGGACAGAAGGAGAAACAGACAGGTAAGGGATGGGGTAGCAGGATCTAAGCCCCTGCATCCAGCTACCCTGGGCTTCCTGGTATTAAACAAACACAGTTTTGTTCACTTATGGTTGGAGATGGATTTCATCATTTCAACGGTAAGAGTCCTAACATACCTACTTTCTGACCATATTTCCCCTATTACTCAATCATGTTTTAGCCAAAGTTGACTTTCCTGTTTGTTGAACACATCCTCAACTTAGCCTGGACAATTTTCTCAAACTAGAGTCTCCCCTTTTCCTGTAAGTTCCTACCCATTTAGCAAGCTCTACTTAGCACGTCACCTATGAATGGTATACATGCAAGGGACGTTCACTTTAGATGTTACCTGAAATGGAAAAAAGCGATACAAATGCCTACTAAAAACGGATTATTTAAATGCTAAAAAGAACATTCATGTAATAGAAAAACATGGAAACAGTGACATTATATAAAAATATTTATGTATTTTATATGGAAAGATATTCTTGATGCAGTCAGCAAGCACATCAGGTTTGAAAGCAGGCTGTATTGTACGGTCCATGTTTGTTTAATAATTTATGAGAGAGAAACCAACAAACCAAAAGAAAGAAAATGGGCAGAAGGAGAAATCCATGCCATTACCCCAGAAAAGTGCTCATGCACTACAACGCCAGTAGAGGGAGCCCAAGGGCAGCACAGAGGTGAAGCCAGTACTGCAGGGCAATAACCCGAGACAACTCATGTCATTGCAAATGGAAATGGTAGTAGGCACAAATGACTGTAAAGAAAATTAAGTTTCTGTCTGCCTGTTAACACATCACTCAAATATGTCAGTGTAAATTCTCCACAAACTTGAAAGACATATGAAGGACAGTCTGATTTAAAAGCTATGAAACGTACAATATTTACTTGGAGGACATGTCAAAGGGAGACAGAGTGGTTGTCGACCAGGAGAAGCAGGCCACGGATACTTGGGGAATCTAGGCGTGTCCCAGTGACACAGCAGCTGGCTCGAAGGGGCTCCAACTAGCCAAATATGGGACAATCAGGCCACCAAAAAAAATATGGACAGTCCTGGATTATAAACCACTAGAAAAACAGGAATCCAAGAGTCCATGAAAGTAATAAATAAACAGAAGGAAGAACTACAGAAGAATGCCACCCGACCATCCTTGTAAAGATTCAGACAAAAATCATCAATGGATGCTAAAGCTAAGGAGAAATTTTGAGAAAGAAGATGACATTTACATGACGTTT